TATATACTAATGATTGTTATGTCTTGTTGGTGAATGGTTCCCTTTAGCAGTATATAGTGTCCTTCTTTATCCCTTTTGATTAACTTTGGCTTGAAGTCAATTTTATTTGATATGAGTATGGACACCCCTGCTTGCTTCCGAGGTCCATGTGAGTGGTATGATTTTTCCCAACCTTTCACCTTCAGCCTGTGTATGTCTTTTCTCATCAGATGAGTCTCCTAAAGGCAGCATATTGTTGGATCTGTTTTTTTTTTAATCCAGTCTACTATCCTATGTCTCTTGATTGGTGAGTTTAAGCCATTAACATTGATATATGGTTTGTACTTCCAGCCATATTTGTTTATTTTTGTTATTTAACTTGATTTGTTTTTCCTCTTCGATTAGTTTTTCCCTTTACTGTGCTACCTCCCACTGTTGATTTTCATTGTTGTTTTTCATCTCCTCTTCATGTAGTGTTTTGCCCAAAATGCTTTGCAGTGCTGGTTTTCTAGCTGCGAATTCTTTTAACTTTTGTTTAGAATGGAAGGTTTTTATTTCATTGTCAAACCTGAAGCTTAATTTTGCTGGATACAAGATTCTTGGTTGGAACCCATTATCTTTCAGCGTTTGAAATACATTGTTCCAAGGTCTCCCAGCTTTTAGCATCTGTGTTGAAAAATCAACCATTAACCTAATTGGTTTACCCCTAAATGTAATCTGCCTCCTTTCTCTTGTGGCTTTTAAAATTCTCTCCTTGTTCTGTATGTTGGACATTTTCATTATAATGTGTCTTGGTGTGGGTGTCTTGTGGTTTTGTACATTCGGCATCCTGTAGGCTTCTAGGATTTGGATTTCTGTTTCATTCTTCATGCCTGGAAAGTTTTCTAAAATTATTTCATTGAACAGATTTCTCATTCCTTTGGTTTGGACCTCTATACTTTTCTCTATCCCAATGACTCTTAAGTTTCGTTTTTTTATGTTATCCCAAATCTCTTGGATGTTCTGCTCGTGGTTTCTTACTAGCCTTTCTGAGTTGACTAGACTCTTTTCTAGATGATATATTTTGTCTTCATTGTCTGATGTTCTGACTTCTAATTGGTCTACTCTACTGGTGATACTCTCATTTGAATTTTTAATTTGGTTTATAATTTCCTTCATTTCCAGGATTTCTGTTTGATTTTTTTGTATAACCTCTATCTCCCTGTAGAGTTGCTCTTTTGCTTCGTGGATTTGTTTATGTAATTCATTGTCAAAGTGATCTTTCATTGTCTGCATTTGCTGTCTAAGGTCTTCCTTAAGACTCCATAACATCTGAGCATATATATATATATATATATCTTGAAATCTTTATCTGACAATCTCTCTGCTGTGGCTACAAACTCCTGTATTGTTGAGTTGTCCTACATTGTTTGTGTTCCTTTTTTTCCTTGTCTTTTCATGATGCTCATGTTTCTTTCCAGCTCTGTGTGACTGCTGTGTTATTATTTTCTCCTATAAATTTGTTTTGCTTTTGTATAGCTCCGAGATCTCTCCTTTGTGATGGGAGACAATGTCTAGATATGTTGGGTTCAATTGTAATTTAAAGTAAATTCATTAGTTTCCTAAGAGGCATACAGATTCTGATGGCATATAGAGAACTGAGGTTTGGTTGTAGGACTTTATGTTTAGGGGGAAAGATGTGAGGATCTGGGGGTTAGTATATCTTAGCTGCTTTGGAGGAGAGCTCTAATGAAGGGAGACATTAACAGGAGAATAGACTGGAGTATTTGGGGGTAGCTAAGTACTTAGGAGGACTATAAAAAGCCTAGAAACATTCACCTATTTGCATTTAGTAAATAACACATAATAGAAGTAGTAATGCTTGGGAGATTGGGAGGGGAAGAGAAGGAGAAAGAAAAGTACAAGGAAAAGAAGAAGAAAGAAAGAAAGAAAAGAAAGGAAAAAAGAAAGAGAAAAAATGCACTTTTAGAGTTCTGTTTTCTTCTCTTCCAGTAGGTAGCATTGTGCTTTCCAGGCTAAGTCTCTGCCCTCAGGATGTAGGAAGCAATCCGTGTGAGGTGGCTCTCCCTCCCCTGCTGAGTGACTCTCCAATCCCGATCACTTTGGGTTGCTCCCAGTCTCTAGCCCCCTCACTTCTCCTGCCCATCAGGCCCCACTTACTGGGGCTCCTGTCCACAGCTCTAGCTTCACTCTGGGCATGCACTGCCCTGGCCACCCTGCCCTCTTGAATAACTGAGCGCTCTGTATTTTTGTTAGTTACCCAGTCATCATGGCTATGGAAAGAGGGAGTTGGACACTGGCAACCTGTTCTGTCTGATTCCCTCTAATAGCCACACCCACTGAGAGCTGGCGAGAAAGGTTTCAGTTTTTGTTGCTGGCGTGGGGGGGGGGGAGTTGGAGGTCAGGTGCCTTTTCAGTTTCCCTCAGCTCTGATATTCATGCCCACAGAGAGCTGGCGAGAAAGTTTTTGAGTTATCCCAGCTGGGTGGAGGGGGGGCTGGGGGTCACACACCTGATCTGTCGCCAAACTCTCTGCCATGAGATCCACCCAAAGCTGCTGAAGTCGATTCTCCAAGATGGTGACCGCCCCTTTCCACACCAGGGTGTCTGGTGAGGAGGATGGACGTGGGCCGTTTCTCCACTAAGTCCCCCCTTCAGTTCTCTGTCTGGTACCCTGTGGAGGCGCGGGTGGCAGATCTCCACAGGATCTGAAACTCTGCTTCTCTATGCTGCCAGAACTCCATAGCGCTCAATTTCGCCCGCTGCAGCATGCTGTTGTCCCGCTGGTCCTGAGTTGGGAGTTTTAAGAGAAATAATCTTACAAATTGAATTGAGATACTACTACTAATAGTCTACTCCCAATAGGATAATTTTGATCTTATATATGGCAGAATTGATTGTTCTAGAAACCCATTTCAAGGTAACTTAAGCAATAAAGGGGGGGAGTATTGGAAGGACACTTAGGTGTCTCATAGAACCCAAGGAGAAGAAGTGAACTGGGTCTCATAGGACCTGGAAAATCCTCAGGAACTCAGTTTCTCTTTCTAGTCACAATCTTCAGGAAAGAGAAAATGGCTCATGGGTTGAGTAGATAAATCACAGTATGTACAATATACTACAGGTGAATTTTAAGTGATAAGAAATGAATTCTGAATTGTGATTGGACTGTGAGCATCTGAAATGTGAAAAATGGGTATTCACAGGGAGGGAATCATGGAGGGAATATGTTGCCATAGTGTAAGAAGGGTCTTTTTCAAATAGAAATGGAGGCTCTGGAAGACGGTGGCAGGTCAAAGGTTGTGAGATATTGGGGTCTGTGGGGAGCATAGGAGAGTTTCTCATTGTGAGGAGGAAGGAAAGAGGGTTTTGTGGTGAACGGTGTGAACTTCACAAGAGGGTCACTAACAGATGGCTGCTGGGGGAGCAGGAAGGGTTGTGACCACTTATGTTCCCAGGATTCTTGAGTATTGGGAGATGTGGGCGTGAACAGAGAGGCATCAGAGAAAAACCAGACTTTACAGTAGAAGTTTCCAAATCTTGGCTGCACTTAGCCCACTTACCAGGTGACTGACATGGTACATGCCCTCCAGAAAGCCTGGCATGCTCACAGCATGCCAAATGCAGATAACAAGGAGGGTAATTTATGACAACCTCAGCACTTTGAACTCCACAAGTTGAAAGTTTGTGTTTATCAAGAATAGTCATGTAAGCTTTCAAAATTCTTTACATCAGTTAAATTGGTTATTGTTATTATGCAACTTATAGAAGAAATAATGGTGGAATAGCAGTATATACTTACAGGTATTCTTTTTATTAAAGTCAAATTGAATACTTTATGACCATATAAACAGCAACCATTAAAAAAATCGCTGTCAAATTATGGACTAGCAGTAGGCAAGATAACTGTTAAAAGGTTTGGGGAAAACTGCAAAAGGTCTAGACAGATGCTGCCTTTGGTGTTTTTCCCCACAACAACCTCTAGGTTTTAGCTCCATTTTAAATAAATGTAAACACACCTGGATGTGGTTTATGTAGGGAAGAACTAAGGGAGCTTGTTATGGACCCATACTCAAAGAAAATACTTTGGCCCTATAGAAAAGAATTCATGAATGACTCTACATTTAGGATGTCAGAGTTAAAACAAATATTTAAGGTACATCTGAATACTTTCAGATTCCCACTTCCGTTTCCTATTTTGAATGACTATTTCAATATGCAGAAATGGAGCATTTATGCAAAAAGGTATAGATTCAAGGAGTTTTGCTCACTATAGGGCAGGAAGTTCGGGGAATAGTAAGCCCAGATGAGCAGGATTGCTCAGGGCTGGGAGAGTAGGCATGGACATGCAAAGATGGAATAGTTGAGATGTGTACCCGGGCAGCACTTGCCAGGGTGAGAATGAGGAGGGCCAAATCCTGGGACCCAGGCTGGGAAAGGATTAGTTCTGAAGGGAGCATACCCATGGGGCACATTAAGGGTGCTCAGCCTGTGGTGAAGGCTTCAAATAAACCCTGTTTCAGGATAACCCAATGGAAATTTCATGATTAAACCTGAAGGGGAATTCCAAACTCCCCCTCTTGGCTCCTGAATCTGGACAACAAACATATCTATTTCACCTGTGCAACACTACCTGTATTCCACCTCAACACAAAGCTCTGCATCTTTGCCAAGATGGCTTACTCACTTTCCTCTGAAAAATACTCCCACACTTCAAGATATTCTCTCTCTCTTCTGTACGATCCATTGCTTTCTCATTGATTTTTCACATCACAATTAGGTTGGGGGTGATTTTAGTATTTAGCTGTTATCTTCTGCATGGCTGAGCGTTAGGGAATGCTTGCAAAGTGAATGAAGGTAACATTGTACCTTCTAAGATAGCTGGAAGAAACCCTGGGTGCAGAAACCATAGTGAACCCGATACCTGCGTCTGAGTGAGAGAGGTGAGAGGAGGAGCCCTTTCAACCCACACACAATAGGGGCTTTCCTCTGGGTGTGGTGCCTTGGGAGCTGGGTCTCAGATCCTCTTAAGTGCTGATTTTCTTCCAGGTTCCTGTCCTGGTTCAGGCAAGATGGGCAAGTATGTGATCCGCGTCGCCACAGGGGACTCGCTCTTGGCGGGCTCCACCAACCTGGTGCAGCTGTGGCTAGTTGGCGAGCACGGGGAGGCGGACCTGGGGAAGCTGTTACTGCCATTGCGGGAAAAGGTGAGTGCAGAGCCTGGGAGCCAGGGTGAGGAGGAGCAGTCCGCACCTTCTGGAGCCTCTAGGCCAGAAGCTGGGGGGGGGAATGAGATGGTGCAGGATTGGGTGCCTGATAGAAAAAAAGGAAAGTGAGAAGAGAGAAAATAGAGTAGTATCTCTCTGCTTGGGTGGAAGGAGTAGGGAAGATGCGACTAGAGGCTGGAGGCTGGAGCCCCACAGAGCTAGCTGTTCCTCCTCACGGCTGCCTGCTTCAGGTCTCTCCCTGGGTGTCCCCGGAGGGACAAACAGAGCCAAGTTTCTTCGAAAGCATCCAGACTCCACTGTCCTCGCTAAGGACCTCATACCCGCCTCTGCGGAATGTTCTGTTCCACAGAAAACGGAGGTGGAGATCGATGTCCCCTTTTACCTGGGGTGCCTCCTGCTGGTGAAGCTGCACAAGCACAAAAGTCGGTTGAATTTTGACTGGTTCTGCAAGTGGATCACGGTGCAGGGCCCGGGGAACCAAGGAGAGGTCCTTTTCCCTTGCTACAGCTGGATCCAGGACGACAGGATTCTCTGTCTACCCGAAGGCACGGGTGAGGGCTCTGGGTAAAGGGTGTGACTCCTTCAGAAAGCAGGAGTCGGGATAGGGGATGCTATGATATAAAAGGGAAAGAGGAGAAAGATGCAGAGGTAAGAAATGCAAGAATGGGATTCAGGAAGAGAACTGATGGAAAGGCCCTGCCGTGGGGCTGAGTGTGAGAGGGGGTTCCAGGGAGGACGCCTGTCTTTTGTTTCCCCCTTACCCAGCCCGGTCCGTGAGTGATGACCCCCAGAACCTGTTAAAGAAATATAGGGAACAGGAGCTGGAGGACAGAAGGAAGGCTTATCGGTGAGTCCCAGAAAGCTTCTGATCCCTACTACCTCTTGCTCCACCTACTCCCGACTCTATGTTCTTCCTCCAGGTGGGGCTCCTGGAAGGATGGGTTAATCCTGCCTGTAGCAGGGAAGACGCAGAGGGACCTTCCCAGAAATGAACGATTTCTATAGGATAAGGATTTGGATTTCACCCTCTCTCTAACAAAAGAGTGAGTGCCAGGTCTGGGTGGTGGCCCACACCTGTAATCCAATTACTCCAAAGACTGAGGCAGGAGAATCATAACTTTGAGGCCAGCCTCAGAAACTGAGCAAGACCCTGTCTCAAAAAAATAAAAAGGTTTGGGATGTAGCTCAGTGGTAAAGCACCATGAATTCAATCCCCTGGTATCTCAAAAGAGAGTGCTGGATTGAGGTTAGGCACTTTCTTCCCAGGCTGTAAGGTGAGATTTTTCTTACTCTTCTTGCATGTCATTCTTTACACAGGTTGAAGAACTTGGCCATTAAGGGGATATTGGATCTTGCAAATTGCGTACATAGACTGGAAGATTACAAAAAAATATTCCCACGTGGAAAGATTGCCCTGGCGGGTCAGTTACCACAACCTGCTAAAACCTGTATATATATTTCCAGCTCAGGGATCTGACAAAAGAGCGGTGACAGAAGGTAGAAAACTGATGTCAGTGCAATGAGGAGCACACAACATGTCCCAAACTGATGTCCTCAGTGCGGGTCTATGATTCCTGGAAGGATGATGACCTCTTTGGATACCAGTTCCTCAATGGTGCAAACCCCATGCTCCTGAGGCGTTCTACGAGTCTCCCAGCCAGGCTGGTGCTGCCTCCAGGAATGGAAGAGTTCCGAACTCAACTGAACAAAGAGCTCCAGGTACTGTGCTTTTCACCACCCCAGCCATCCCCCTACCATTTTGCCTCCCATTCCTGCCATCTCTTCCTCCCCTTATCTCTTTCATGTTCACCTCCATTATCTCTTTCATGTACACTTAGAATTTCTCAACTTTGACACGATTAACATTATAAGCCAGATAATTCTTTGCTGTAGAGGACTGTCCTGTGCATTTTTGGATTCTAGTAGAAACCCTTGACTTTTACCTTCTAGAAGCCAGAAGCACCCTCTGCCCTGGTAGTTATGACAACTGAAAGCATCCCTAGACATTGTCAAATGTTCTTAGGGGAGGGGGGCATCACCCCTGCTTGAGAACCATGATCTGTATAATCTCCTGTGTCTCCTTTTCTTTCCTCTCTTCCATCTCCACCTTCCTGGTTTCCTACTTCATTAGATGGACCTGAGCCTCAGTCTCAGGCAGGAGCTTGATCTAAAGAGAAACAGCAAAAAGACTGACCAAAGCCTTGAAGAACTAGACTTACATTTTAAAAGAGGGGATAAAGGAAATATTTTGTGCCACATTTGACTAAAGCCAGCAAGCAGGAAGACAATAGTTGAGAGTGTGGCACATGGTGGAGAGTCAATTCAGGGGATTTGGAGTCTGGTGGAAGACACTGGTCATGAAAACTTTCATTCGGGCCTTTGGTTCTGGGGAAAGTGATTGGTGCTTAAAGCAAAAGCCTGGATGGATAGAGGAAGGATCCACCTTGGGAAATGAGAGAAGGGCAGGTTCAGGATGACTCCAACCCCTTTCTGTGTCCTTGACATTGACCCTACAGGCTAGATCTCTGTTTGAAGCTGATTATACCCTGCTAGATGGGGTCAAGCCTAACATCATCATTTTTAAGCAACAATATGTGGCAGTCCCTTTGGTTATGCTGAAACTACAACCTGATGGAAGACTCTTACCCATGGTTATCCAGGTAAGAGGACCCAGGTGTCTTTCTCCTAGACATTGATCCATTTAGAATTGATCCATTTAGGGACTTAGATACATAGTTCTTAGCTCCCATTCTCCCTCCTTCTCTAGCTCCAGCCACCTCGACATGGATGCCCCCCACCTCTGCTCTTCCTGCCTTCGGATCCTCCCATGGCCTGGCTCCTAGCCAAGACATGGGTCCGTAGCTCTGATTTCCAGCTGCACCAGTTACAGTCACATCTGTTAAGGGGACATCTGATGGCTGAGGTTATTTCTGTGGCCACAATGAGGAGCCTGCCCAGTCTGCATCCTATCTACAAGGTATTTCAGCATCTGTGTCATTCTGCATTTGATCGTTGTTCGTAATTCACAATCCTAGCCTTTGAGGCCCAGGGTTTAACCTTGTAGCATGTTATATTAGAAGCAATCTTAGTTTATACGCGCAAGCGCGCGGACACACACACACACAGTCTGCTATGGAAATACCCAGGACACACACTTGCTATAAGGTGGGGAAGGTAAGAATAGGTTTTACAAAGGAGTTTACATTTGGACTGAGGAGGTTGTCAAGGGTAGAAAGGGATGGGGACATTCAAGTCTGATCTGTAAAGGAGAGGAATGAAAGGAGCATGGGTTGTGAATGATTGGAGTGTTGTGTAATAGAACAAGTAAGTGAGAAAAAATAAGCAAGGAAGCCATGTTACTTGATGGGGAGAAGAAGCAAGGGCTCTGTTTTGACCCTGCAAGGTTTCCAATCCCGGTATCCATCCATTTGAAAATGTCAGGAGGGCAATGGATATGTGAGCCTGGAATTCCTGGAAAAAATTGAAGATATAGATTTTAGGGTTATTAGGAAACAAAAGTCTCTAAATCCATCATACTAGGGAAGATTCTCTGTGGTTTGTAGCCACAGCAGAACATTTCACCCAGAATATAATTCTAGGTTACTTCAACCTTTAGAAACTCAGAGGAAAAAGTAGAGTGAGAAAAGTAGCAAGAGAAGGGTCAGCCACTGAGGTGGGGGGAAACAAAAAAGAAAAGTGTGTAACTCATGGCCATCAGAGGACAGGGTTTCAACAGGGAGGTAGGATTATATGTTTCCGATGCTATTGAGAGGTCTGCATGGTTAAAGAGAAGGCATATCTGGGTGTGTCAACATGGTTAATCACTGAAAAATGCTATTCAGGGAAGCAGAGATGCAAGAACCCTGATTGGTGTGGGCTGAGCGGAAACTGTGAGGTGAGAAAGTAGAGACATCGCATGACTCTCCAGAAGATATGGACACTGGGAGCTCTATTTGATTGCGTTCCATGTCTTTTCTCTACCATTAGCTCCTGATCCCCCACTTTCGCTATACCATGGAGATCAACATCCTGGCCCTGAACAATCTTGTCTCTGAATATGGAATTTTTGATCTGGTATGGAAAGGGATGGATGAAGAGGGAGGAGGGTTCGATGTTGGAAGGATCCCAAGGTTTGTATCCCTCTTTCATTGTTCCCCCATAATCTGCTTTCTCTACCAAAGGCCTCTCCCTAATCTGAATCATACCTGAAGAGTCTTCTGGTCCTAAATCTCCCTCGCTTTTTCACCTGGTTTGGCTAATGCTAGGTTTGTCCTCAGGTGGTGAGTACAGGTAGTGGAGGCCATGTGGACATTCTCCAGAGAGCCACAGCTTGTTTGACTTATCGTTCCTTCTGCCCTCCTGATGACCTGGCTGACCATGGGCTCCTGGATGTGAAATCTTCTCTCTATGGCCAAGATGCCCTCAGGCTGTGGGAAATCATCAGTAGGTGAGGGTGATATAGAGAGTGATAGAACGAGGGGGACCACAGGTACAGAAGGTCCTACGTTGGCTGGCTGAGTCACAACAACCTTTTCCATGGGGAACAGGTATGTGCATGAGATGGTGGGACTCTTCTATAAGAGTGATAAAGCCGTGAAGCAAGATTCAGAGCTGCAGGCCTGGTGCAGGGAGATCACTGAAACTGGACTGCAGGGTGCCCAGGACCGGGGGTAAGGCCTGGATCTTCCCCAGTAACCTGTGTCAACACCCACCCACCTGTCAACTTTCCCTGCCTCACAACATCATAAGACACCCTTCCTTGAGGACCCTGAGAATTCCCTGGACTTTTCCACAGTATCCAGAAACCTTAATGATCACTCCTGATTTTCCCAGTTCCTTTCCTTTATCATCCTCTCATATACTCTTTTACTCCTTATGCACGAAGAACTTTCTCCAGAATCAGATACATGACTTCGCTTAGATATTTTTTCCTTACTTGTTTCTACTCTTTCCCCCATAGCTCTAAGGTTTATCCCAAGTATACCCTATTTGAGTTCACATTTTATGTGAATCATAGAATTCAGAGTCCAGGTCCATAGGAAATTCTTTAATGTATCTCCAAATATCTTTCCCTCATGTCCAAATATCTGCCCCATGTCCTGGTCTCAAATCCTCTCATTCTCATTTCACCCAGGTTCCCCCTCTCCTTGGAGTCCCTGGATCAACTCTGCCACATTGTTACTATGTGTATCTTCACATGCACTGGTCAGCATGCTTCGGCCCACCTGGGACAGGTAATCTGTGTGATCATCCCCCACGGACTCCTGGGATTAGAATATGAGGGGAGTTAAATGCCTGGGCCATTAACCTGGGTTTCTGAGTGGCTTTTCTACCTGTAGCTAGACTGGTACTCCTGGATCCCTAATGGCCCATGCACCATGAGGAAGCCTCCACCCATCTCCAAGGCTGTGACAGAGAAGGATATAGTAGACTCACTGCCTGATCTCCACCAGGCCCGTATGCAGAAGACGTTCATCAAGTTCCTTGGCAGACGTCAGCCAGTCATGGTTAGAAACAGATGCCTGGGTTCTGGGGGAGGTGATAGCTAGAGGGAGAGGCAGTAGTCTTGGCTGAGAGGCCCAAGGAACTGAGCCATCTTGTTCCCCTCTCTCTCCCCAGGTGGCCCTGGGGCAGCATAAGGAGAAATATTTCTCAGGCCCTGGGCCCCAGGCTGTGCTGCAGCAATTCCAGGAGGAGCTAGCTGTCATGGACAGGGAGATTAAGGTCCGGAATGCAGGCTTGGACCTTCCCTATGAATACCTTCAACCTAGCATGGTGGAAAACAGTGTGACCATCTGAGAGGTCTTGCCCACCTCAGTCCCAAAGCTCACTGTCCCCACACACCCTTGTACTCCTCTTCTCCATGCCCATGTTCTCTGCTAAACAGCTGCCCCCAAAAGCTGTGTCATCAAGGTGCCTGAAGCTGCCCATCACACAATTTGGGGAATAAACAATGTTGTTCCCATTGCACATTGAAACCTGGGACCTTCTGTACTTGCCTACCTTAATGTCTACAAGTTCTATGCTTCCTTAACCTTTGATCCCTCTTACCTCTTTCCCTTTCCCAAAAGAGCTGGTCTATATATAAATAAAAGACCTGATTAAATTGTCATGTTGATTATGTGGTAAGTGAAGGTGAGAGAAAATACCTTACTTTGTTTCTTTGTTTCTTGCCTTCTTATTCAGTTTCCAAGGGATAAAAGAAAGGCGTTTTCCTGAAACAAAAAAAAATTCTTCCAGGAATCAACACTTACTTCTAGCCTTTCCTTAAGCATCCGTAACCTAAATGACAGAAGTTTTGGCCCACTGAGCCCCATGGGGCTGAGGGATCTGGCTTTTAACAGTGGTGTTTAGCTCGAGGTTTCTCTAAATCCTCAATCACATGACCTTTGGGCCACCTACAGTAACATTTTCTGTGTGACTTCCCCAACCCTGCATCCCTCTGCCACTGTCCCTTTTCACGGCATCTCACTCTTCCTTTAATACAGTTTAAATCTCTTACAACTGCACCACTACATCCAAGTCATACAGAAAAGTAAGATTCCTATGTCATCTCCTTCCAATTTTGCAAAACAGCTATTAAATGACCTAAATGGTTTCAATCCTTAGAATATGCTATGTCATTATTCCTCCATCAGAGGACAATGTCCCACCTGGCCCCATCTTTACTTAAAAACGTCTCTGTGTTTTCTTTGTGTTTTTCTACATCTCCCATCACCCCTACTCAAGATCCTTTGTTGATTCTACATGGGTAGTGGCACCTTTTCCCAAGTTTCAAATCAGCATATTTTTTTGATTGTGCCAGGAATGCAATGCCCTGTGTCAACTTTATTCAGGATGTGTCTAAGAGTTGTGTTTGCAGCAAGAAACCTGGAGAATGAGGTGATTTCTCCCAGACACAGAACAGACTTGCTTCTATTTACTACAAAAGTAGTAAGTCCCTCAAACTCAGTGGTCCTCTCCTATAACACAGATCATCTAGGCCCATCTGTGTCACCCCATGGAATTGCGGGCAGGGGGAGCTGATGTGAACATGAAGCAATGAATAATTCAATCCTTTTTCTCTGAACCAGGGGTCTTGGGTATTTTGTCAGCCTCTTCCAACTGGTAATGGGCTAACCCATTAATGAACTCATTAGCTTATAAATGTAAAATTCCAGACCCTTCCATCCACCTAATTGTTCACTTTTTACCAAGTAAAAATTAAAAAGTGATAACCCCTTGTGTTGGTAAAGATGCTAGGAAAAACTTTTTGCATTTTTTAAAAATTTTAATTTTTATATGTAACAGCAGAATACATTACAATTCATATTATACATATAGAGCACAATTTTTCATATCTCTGGTTGTACATAGTCACACCATTCATATCTTCATACATGTACTTAGGATAATGATGTTAATCTCATTCCACCATCTTTCCTACCCCCCATACCCCCTCAGGACATTTTGATACCATATAATAACCTTTCTGGAAAACATTTACAATATGAGCATAAAATATGTGGATGCCATATTACTCAGTAATCCCATTTTTGAGAACCTATAATATAAAAGCTCTGTGTATTCAGAATACATATCTGTAAATATGTGTATGTGTATACACACATATGTATGCGTGTTTTAAAGCATTCATCATGGTTATAACTACTAATAACACCATAAAGATTCACCAAGAGGAGAATCCTAAAAGTTAGTGAATACAATAATTAGATCTCTACCTAATGATCTGAATATTTCCATCATGGAGTTCTCTCCCATCATGCATTATTATTTGTATCATGTACTGTGAAAAGCAAGTTCCAAGAAAAAAAATTAATGTTACCTCATGTTTACATACAAAACAACATATAAGTAATTCTATGAACAGGAAAGAGTGGAAATAAGGAATCGAAATGGACTACTGAAAAAAAATGACTTCTCTTGGGGTGGGTATGAAGGATAGAAAATAAAAGAAAATTTTAAAATCAGCTCCTCTCTAAGTGGATCAACATATAAAATCATATTACAGTGAAGACTATAATTTCCCCCTGAACTCTTGATTGTCCCTCAAAAGGAGCCTTCTGTGACCAAAAAGGACAATCCCAATGCCCTTCAGGAGGCAAAATCTGGTAGAAGAAAGGAAGGTGGGTACAGTTGACATGGGCACAAGGTAAGGCTGTAAAGAATGGACATTGGCACCCAAGATCTTTCAGGAAATGCTCACTCTGTGCTACTCAGTATCAAAACAGGAGGGGAAGAAGAGAGGCCTGGAGAGAAACTCTGATGGACTCAGCCTGTCCCCACTCCCCTTCTTCGTGCCCCCTCGCTTGGCCCCTCACCTTCCTCAAAGTCGCTCTTGTCCACAGAGAGGAGCAGCCACCTCCACCTCCACATGGGGATAATTGCAGGTTCAGGCCTGTCTGGGGTGGGTACCTGAAACGCCCCAATCCTACAGTGGGCGGACACACAAAACCCTACTTTATTAAGCTGGGGACTGGTCCTTCAGGCAACGCATCAAAAGCAGGTCCCCTAGACCTTTCCCAAGGCTTATTAACGGACAGCTATTACAGAGGCAGCAGGCCGGGGGTACCATGGGCCGCTACCGCAACCGCTTGGCCCCTGGGGCCTGGGTTTTCTCAGGGTCGCATAACCGCGTGCAGCTGTGGCTGGTGGGGGCTCACCGGGAGGCAGAGCTGGAGCACCAGCTGCGACCCAGGCGGGTCGAGGTCAGTGGGTGGGAGCCCGGATACCTGCCATCAGCCAGGCTAGGATTGCAGAGCGATGTGGGCGAGCAGTAGGAGACTAGGGGAGAGTTCCAACAGGACAGCCCGGGTGGTACTTCCTCAGCGTAGGGAGAAAGGGGGTCCCCGGAGAAGCGGGTAGTGTTAGGAGTCCTAATTCCGGATTAGGCTCAACCCCCTTCTTCATTTCTCCGACCCTGGTCCTGGCGGCCTCCAACTCCATCTCCAAATGACCCCAGAGTCAGTGTAACTATGCCACCAGTGGTCAGCCTTGAAGCTCCTGCAAGCACGATCCTGGTGACAGCTCAGTGAAGGATGATGCTCCATCGTCAGTTCAAGTCACTGCTTGCAATGCACTGCGGGCCCCCGCTTGCTCGCGCTGAAATAGAGCCTAACAGAGACCCCTGGGACAGGTCATGCGGAGGAGGAAGGGAGGTGATACTGTCTTCCGAGGCCCTGATAAACTGAAGTTCCACAAAGGGCCCGTTCTGCCCTCAGAAAGGCTTCTCCAGGTCCTTCAGCTAAGTCTGGCGGGTCTGGCCCCCACAGGAAGAGGAGTTTGTTCTGGACACTCCAGAGGATCTGGGGCCGTTGCAGTTCGTGAAGCTGCGCAAACAGCACTCACTGGTGGACAGCGCGTGGTTCTGTGATCTGCGATGGATCGCATCACCGTGCAAGGTCCGGGAACCTCCGCGGAGACCGCAGAGACCGCGTTCCCGTGCTACCGCTGGGTGCAAGGCACGGGCGTCCTGAGCCTGCCCGAGGGCACTGGTGAGCCGGCAGCGTTGGGGAAGTGGGAGCAAGTCCTCCTCAGGAAGTGCTGGGGGCAGAGGAGCAGAAAAGGACTGAGTAAGGTCGGTGGTGCTTAGAGAAAGGATAGACCCCGAGGCACGTGGAGTGCAGGGATTCCAGGATGCACGACAGGAAAAGGGAAGAAGTTATGAAGACCCAAAGTTTTACCCAGAATAAGTGATGGTGCGAGTGAGGCTGAAGAGGGATAAGGATCTGGAGATTCTCTTCCAAAAAGGTGAGGATAGGGAGTGGGATGCAGCAATGAAGGAAAACAGAGAAGCAAAGTAGAAAGGATACCTCTATGTTAGGGCAGCAACAGGTAAAGGGGCCCATGGAATAAAGGTGGTCAGTAACTTGAGAGCAGGACACAGCTATGGAAACAAATGACAACGATGTTGGAGAGCTGTTTTGGGGTAGAATAACAGGGAATTCAACTGTGGGGAGCGGAGACAAGGCAGAAGATGGGGATGAATGAGGACAGCAAAAGCTGAAATTGTTACCATGGGAAAAAAGGAGAAAAACATCGTGACACAATTAGGGATATGGACATGGTAAGAATAGAAACATGGAATATGTGCTTCTGAAGAAGAAGTAAAGGGGGTGAAGGGGCTGGGGATGTGGCTCAAGCGGTAGCGCGCTCGCCTGGCATACGTGCGGCCCTCGTTCAATCCTCAGCACCACATACAAACAAAGATGTTGTGTCCGCCGAAAACTAAAAAATAAATATTAAAAATTCTCTCTCTCTCTCTCTCTCTCTCTCTCTCTCTCTCTCTCTCTCTCTCTCCCCCCTCTCTCTCTAAAAAAAAAAGAAAGAAAAGTTGTGCACATTTGCATACAATATGTCAAAACGCATTCTACTGTAAAAATAATAATTAATTTTTTAAAAATTAACAAATACCTTTAAAAAAAGAACAAGTGAAGTTAAATACAGGTGAGAACAGAAACAAGTTAGTTTTATATAAATTATGGGATGGGGAGACTGATAGACTCTTGGAACCTTTTGTTCTCACAGGTAGGATAAGAGGCTGAAAGTAACATGCACAGAAATTCTTGTAATCAGGAACAGGTAAGGGTGGAGGTGGAGAAGGGTAGTGTATATAAGTAGAGCTAACATGAAATATGTCATTTAGGAGAGAGGGGAAGATGAGGACAGGGAAAGGCCAGGACTGGCTAAATGTACCAAACTAATATGTGATTATGCAGGCTAGGTATGGACATGGCAGGAGATTAAGCAGAGGATTCAGAGATAATGATGAGTAGGGACTGGTAGATGAATGTGAATTAAAGAACAAGAAAGTATAGTAAACATGGGATATTTGCTTTAGGAGATTGGTGAAAATCAGGAATAAGGTGTGAACAAAAATAGATAAATGATGTCACAGACAAATCAGAGGAGGAGGAGCCAAAGAAAAAGGGGACAGTATACTGTAATACAATCAAGAATAGAGATGAGAACAAACCAAGAATGGCACCAGCTTGGACAAAGCTGTGATCTATCATCTCCCTAGCTCGCATGGCAGGAGACAATGCCTTGGACATCTTCCAGAAGCATAGAAAGAAAGAACTGGAGGAAAGACAGCAGACCTACCGGTGAACACCCACCCTTATACCTCCTAATTGTTCCACATCTTCCTATCTCCTACTCCATTCCTGACCCTATTTCTTCCTCAACTCTTTCCCATCTGCTAGTTGGGGCATCTGGAAGGAAGGGATACCCCTGAAAATAGCTGCAGACACAGAGAATGATCTGCCCCCAGACATGAGATTCCATGAGGGCAAGAAGCTGGACTATGAATGGACAGCAAAGACAGGGTAAGGAGAAGGTCAGAATGGAGTGGGGGCTAGTGGATCCCAAATCAGGAGGGATTTGGTTAGTTGATTGTTTCCTCTGATGCTGTCCTAGGGCCCTGGAGGTGGTTTTCAAACGTATTTACACTCTGCTGACATCCTGGACCTGCCTGGAAGAATTTGATCAGATATTTTGGGGCCAGAAGAGTGCCCTGGCTGGTCAGTGGTTCCCCCAGGCCTTCATGACCCCTTGAGGTCTTTTTTTTCCAAAGTCATCCTTTGCACTTGAGAGTCTCCCATATCTTGTTGCCAGATGAGAATTAATTATAACTCATCATCTCAGAGAGGCCTGAGGATGAAAACATGAGGGCTGGGTAGGGTATGATCATATGCCTGAATTCTTGGGCTAGAACTTGCAAGAGAGGAATATCCAGGTAAATATCTTCCTCCCATTCTCCATCCCCACCCCACAGAGAAGGTTCATCAGCACTGGAAAGAGGATGAACTGTTTGGCTACCTGTTCCTCAATGATGCCAACCCCATGCTGTTGAGACGCTCTACTTCTCTGCCCTCTAGGCTGGTGCTTCCCTCAGGGACAGAGGAACTGGGGGCCCAGTTGAAAAAAGAACTCCAGGTACTTCCTCCCATACTCAGTTGATCTATCCTTGGCAGTGTGGCCCAGAGATGTAGTGAAATTAAGAGACCAAATGCATGTCAGAGGGAGGAATGCTGTCTTAACCTGCTGTCCTTGGTGCAGAGTACTGTGCTGGAAAGATCTAGAGAGAATAAAATATGTAGGAAAAAAAACATTTGACACTGGTGAGAGCCAAATACAGGTAGCAGGTGTTTAAGGATATGATGGGAAACAGACCCTGGATATTTGGACAAAGGGAGAACTTAGTGTGCCTGTGGTTCACAGTAGATTGAACAGGTATGGTCCCAAACTACCTCTGCACAATGAAGGGTTTGTTCCTAGGGAGCCTTCCCTCACTGGGCCTCTTTCTTCACAGTAAAGTGAGATGATTTGGACTAGATATTCTTGATACTTTCTCTAGTTCTGCTACTAAGGTTTCAATAGTGTCGTAAGATAATTGCATGAAGATAGATTGAACATCTTTGCATTTCTTTTCCTTTGTTCTGATGCTGTGGGGGCATTCTTCCAATCTTTTTTTTTTAATTTTTTTAGTTGTAGTAGGACACAATACCTTTATTTTATTTATTTTATTTTTATGTGATGCTGAGGATCGAACCCAGAGCCTCACACATGCTAGGCAAGCACTCTGTCACTGAGCCCAACCCCAGCCCCAGTCTTCCAATCTTAACCATGCATACATTTCTCCTTTCCCCAGAATGGTTCACTGTTTGAGGCTGTCTTTATCTTGCTGGATGGAATTCCAACCAATGTGATCCAAAGAGAGAAGCAGTACCTGGCTGCTCCCCTAGTCATGCTGAAGATGGAACCCAATGGGAAGCTGCTACCTATGGTCATCCAGGTGAGGTACCCTGAAGTACTCCTAATACTGTTCTCTGTTCATCTTACCTGCTGCCCAAGGACAGAGAAACCTGGCTCTTTCTCTCTTTCCATCTCTATCCCTGACCTCACTCAATGAGAACTATCTTCATATCTTTCTGATGGCTCCATTCTAGTTTTCAGATTGGTCACTACTTCTCTGGGCATACCTGAGAATCACAATGGCCTCTCTTGGTTTTCATGCTGAAGTTATTCAATCTCTTTTGATCTTTCAATGCGGTGAATATCCCTTCTTTCTTAAACATCTTTTCTTCCTTAATTTTAATATCTTCATTGCTGTTCGCACAGTCATTGATACATACTGTCAATTTCTCATTCTCACCTTCTTTTTCCCATTCTACCACCAAAGCTCAGACACCCATCCAGTGTTCCCCAAACCACTGTTAGAGCCGCCATACTGATCCCTTCCTTCCATTTCACTTGCATTCACACAAACTATCATGACACTTACATGGAACCATGGCTAGTGACAGGCAATGTGGAAGTGTCCTACTTCCTCCTACTTGGTTTTCACTTTCTCAGAAGCAATTACTTGATTTCAGTCATTTCCATTTCCCTCAAAATACTGAGCAAAGTGTCTTGCATGTGGCAAGAGGTCAATGAATGTTTGATTCCTCTTTCTTTTAGCTCCAACTTCCCACCTCCAGTTCTCCTGCCCCAACACTGTTCCTGCCCTCTGATCCTCCACTTGCCTGGCTCCTGGCCAAGTCCTGGGTCTGAAATTCAGATTTCCAACTGCATGAGCTCCAGTATCATTTGCTGAACACTCACCTGCTGGGTGAGGTCATTGCTGTTGCCACCATGAGGTGCCTCCCAGGACTGCACCCTGTCTTCAAGCTCCACCCTCCAGGTCCCATCTTGTACCTCAGAGTGAGGAAAAAATCATCAGCTGTATGGGATTTAAAAGCCTAAGTCTTCAAGATATGACCATGACATTGATGATTGGTACTCTGTTCATAAGACACTATGAAGATTCTGTGTGTCTTATGAACAGAATCTTCATAGTGTCTTATGAACAGAGGCAGAGAAAGGAGACAGATAACTATTGCAAGACCTTGACCTTGATTTTATTTTAATGCTTAAATTATTTTTATCTTGAGATAATTGTAGATATGCATGAGTTAAGAAATAATACACTATGAAGTCAAATACTGGGATTAATTAAGTACACATTGTAAGTCAGCTCTCTGAAACTCTCTGGCAATGGGTCAGGAATAGAGTAGGAATATAATTTATTAAAGCAAAATGTTAGTTCTGCCTTAGGAGATTTATCATTTGTGTGGAAAGGCAGACAACAATTTCTGGAATTAGAGAGACATAGAGAGGTGCTATAATATTAGTGGAGATGTTCCACCATAACTGAAGTAGTCAGATAAGCAGAAGATCAAAGGGCAGAGTCAAAGAGAGCAGAGGGAGAGCAAAGCCTGACAGGTCGCTTGAACCTGCCCAAGAGTGAGGTGGATAAAGAGCTGCATTTGCATGGCGGTATCAGGAGCTGGGGAGGAAAGAAGGGAAGAAGGGAGGGAGGGATACCAATGAATGGTGATCGTGGGAAACAGTAACTGCAGCATGCCTGAGTGCAAAACTGGAGAGGCAAGGTTAGAGGTCTGTGCTTCTGAAACACCTGGGAGTCCTCAATATGGGTGAGTTGTACAGACCTTATTTTTAAAAAGAGTGAGTCTGGTTATCTATTGCTGAGCATAATGCAGGAAAAAAATGATGCGTGCTTGCTTTAAAAATTTTTGGAAATCATAATGTCACTTTAACACAGGGAACATAGCCAAGAAGGCAGCAAACATGTGCATGCTTAGGCATCAGAGCAATGATCAGAAACTGCAAAGTCAGGTAAAGAAGCCAGTTTGGAGACCAAGATGAACTTTTCAGTTTTAGATACAGGGAGTTTGAAGTATTGGTCAGATATACGAGTGAGTACTTGGCAGGCAGAACAACGGAATTGTAGGTGGATGCAGTGAGACATGCCTGTAATCCCAGTAACTCTGGAGCTGGGGCAGGAGAATCACAAATTCCAGGCCAGACCCAGCCATTTAGTGAGACCCTGTCTCAAAATAGAAAATAAAAAGAACTGGGGATATAACTCAGTGGTAAAGCACCCCTGGTTTCAATCCCCAGTACAAAAATAAACAAAGGAAATTGAGTTGTATTGCTGCTTGGAGTTCCCACCCCAATCCTAATCTGGGCTGTAGTAATTCTGCTTTTTAAGGTTACAAAAGCAAAGTAATTATTAATATAGTTCATGGAAACTTTATTTAATGATCTTATGATATTTTGCATCACCATGTTCTTAAATTATTTAAGTACATTTTTATACTTTAAAATCCCTGTTTATTGGTTTGGCCCCTCCATATGTCCCTAACCTCAATATAACAACTTCATCACATGGCAAACAGCTGCATTGTTATCAGGACCCACCGGAGGTATCATTAAAGGTCATATGGGCAGATTTTGCATGCAGATTACCAGCATCTGAATAATGAATCTTGGCCTCAGTACTTACTCAGATGTGTGCTTTGGGGTCCTCATCTCTGAATGGAGATAATAGGATCTCCATCATGGGGTTGTAAGGCATTAAATGATAAAATATGGGTTATCATAATTAATTATCATCATCATCCTCATTATTGTTAGGGGCTCTGATTTGGGTTCTTTGTTCCCTTATTTTGGAGGTCTTATGTTTTCTGTGATGCCAATATCCTTCCATGAATTTTCTGAAAAGACCATTATGAGGGGCCTTAATGCCTTAAAACCAGGAGTATCTCCTCAGTCTTGCCCTTGGCCCAGTATCAAACAATTAAAATGTGAAAAACTATGTGAATCTTGTATATCAATCAGGTTATAATGGGGAAACCCCCACTTAGCATAAAAATAAGCATGTGTCAATGATAAGTGGCCTTCATGAGGGGACATATAGGGCCTAATTAGGAATGGCTTAAACAGGTAGCTTGATGTGACATCTTCAGTCCTGATTAAGACCTGAAAAAAAAAAAGGAAAATGATGAGTAGTTAGATGTGTGGTTTTGAAATAAGCACAGGCTTGTTTAAGTTATGAAGATGTGAAATATAGAGAAAGAACACAATTATATCAAAAGTTAAGGGGCAGATTCTTTAAAATACAACTGTGTTCAAGGTGAATATAATAAAGGCAATGATCTCAAGAACTTCTGTGTGCCAGGTAGTGTTCCAAACCTGCTGCTCGGTCACTCTCAGAAGCAGTACTGCAGCATCTGAGATAAGACACCCTGGTAACTAGTGAGGAGACTGACACTTAGAGGGTTCATTATGTTGCTCAGGTATCAAGGTGAGTAGTGAAATGTGCACTCAAACCCCACTCTGTGTGGCTCCAAAGCCCAACTGTCATGGAAGTTAAAGGATATGGGAGTGAGTGGTTAGAGGAGCAGGAGACCAGACTATCAAAATAGCAGCGGGGACAAAAGCATCAAGAGGAGAGCAAGACACCTTGCTGTGTGCCAGACCCTACAAGAAATAACCCAAGCATGGCCTCCATTAACCACCCCTCCAATCTCCTGCACCCCAGCTCCTGGTGCCCCATATCCACAACACTATGGAAATCAACACCCGGGGCCAGATCCAGTTTAACTCAGATGGAATATTTGCAAAGGTAAAGAGGAACTTGAACATGGGTGTGCCTAATCATCCATCTCTCTAAAACTTCTTGACATCCTCAAGACCCCAGACCAACCTGCATGAATGGCCTGATCCTTAAACTCGTGAGCCCTGTTCCATCACATAGATGACTTTAAATCTGAACAACCCATTTCTGAATCCCTGTATAATAGGCAATTATTCTGTTCTTCAAGCCCTGTTAACTTTCTCATCCTAGGCAGTGAGCACAGGTGGAGGTGGTCATCTAGATTTGGCCCGTCGGGCAATGACTCAGCTGACCTATTGCTCCCTCTGTCCTCCTGATGACCTGGCTGACCGGGGTCTTCTGGGAATCCCAAGTGCTCTCTATGCTCATGATGCCTTGGCCGGTAGGTAAGAAGCAGCTAAGAAATGGGGAGTGGGAGTGGGAGAAGGAGGGTGGGGTTCTGGCTTGAGATCAGCATAGGGCAAAAGCAAAGAGGGTAGGAGGGAGGTATGGAATGGAGGTGAGGAGAGCTGTGAGTGAGTAAATCATAAGATCTGGTGGCATCAGGGGTTATGTAAAGAAGAGTGTCTGGCAACCATGTGCAGTGTAGGGAATTCCTGGAACTCTTGACTTACAACTTCCTTTACACAATTGTGTCATAAACCTGGGGAATGTTCCAAAAGGCAAGTCTACTAGGACCTGACCCAGGTTTAGTGGCAAGATTAGAGTAGTAGAGGTCAGAGGCTGAAGCCTTCTGGGATCACAGATATCAGCTCCCTTCTCTGAGCAAGTGTGTGGAGGGGATGGTCCACCTCTTCTACCAGAGGGATGATGTTGTGAGGAGGGATCCTGAGCTGCAGGCCTGGTGTTGGGATATCATGGAGGTGGGGCTGTGCCATGCCCAGGACAGAGGTAAGATCCATCTCAGAGACAGGAGCTCTTTGGAGACTCTGCCAGAACCTCTTCCCAGCTCTGCTCCTCTGAGACAGAACCCCAACCTCTCCTGACACCACTCCCACCATACCTGAAAGCATCTGAATTCCATTCATAGCTCCCTAAGGCTCAGAACAATTCTAGACCCCAAGGATTGTCTCCTCAGAGACCCTGATCATCAAGCCTACTCCTATCCCCATCCCACTCACAGATGCCCATAACCTACCATGTCCTGGGACCCAACCAGGCCAAAGCCAGTGAAGGATTCTGTCCAGTTCATTCTGGGTCTCACCTTCTGTCTTCATGGTCCCCTCTTTTCCTGCCTGAAGATATAAACAGGAAAATTTTCACACCAAAGCTTATAAGGACCCCCTCTGGCTTCCCCTCTCTTCTCTTCCTGCCTGTGACTATCCACCATGCAGAGAGGCCCAGGCCAGAGTGCAAGGGCATTTCCAGATGCAACCTCAGTACCATGCATGCTTTGGCTCAAACCTGACTCAATGCCCTTATCCTTGGGACTCAAGATTCTTTGGCCAATTTGTCCACCCCTCTTGGATCGAGATCCTTCTTCCCTTCCATAGCTCTCTTCTTTCCATGAAATATAGAGGGTTTACAATACACACTTAGATATATTTTTTAACTTCTGATTCACCCATTATTCTCCCTTATCTTTCAGTGTTCTCTTTACCTCATCAGTTAAAGGTTATGTGCTAAACAAAATTTAAAGTACTAATTTCGGTCTCTTCCTCTTCCTAGTTATGCAACCTTGAACAATTTATTTATTCTTTTTTCTCTTTGACTTTTGGTTTATTTCTCTCTAAAATGCACATACTGTTTTCATTCCCTCCTCACTACTTACCTGACCGAACTTTTGTGATGCAAATGAAATGTGTGACAATGCCAAAATGTGTCGACTGCATATTGTGAGTTGTTTAATCATAGGCTCCACGCCACCAAAAAAAATACCTCCCCAATATGGTCAGCATGGAACAGGAGAATCCAGGCTCTGACAGACAGTAGATGACTTTGGGATGATCACTAAGTTTTTTGACCCTGACTCACCATACTAATTTTATCTTTTTATTCTGTAATTTTGATGCTTTGACATCTTGGGGATTTGCTGACCCTGAAGGTACTGCCTTTCCCAGGGCTAGCTAACTCCCTGTGTGCATGTCTTTCCTGTGCTAACCAACTATCCCAGAGCCCACACCCCTAACTACTTCCTCTTAGGAGCTCTCACACTCCAGGCCTAAATTCTGAGCCTACACCCCTAATCACTTCCTCTAGGGAGCTCTCACACTCCAGGCCTGAATTCCAGAGGATTGTTAGACAGGTGGGGACAGCCACTGCACCTCAAATGTGACAGAATTATCCAAAGCAACCAGTCCTAAACCTGCCTATTCTATCTTACCCATTCCTTATTGTGAAAACCATAATAAAGGCTCTTGCTCCAGTTGCCCTCTACTCCCTCTGTTCCCTGGCAGGCTCTTGTGCTTCCTTGTGTGGCCCCCTAAGGTATAGCAAGTACCATTCTTTTGGAACCTTTAAGTATAATAAACCATCTTTTCAATGGCATTCGTCTCTTCTCTGTTAGCCTCATCATACCTGAAAGGTAATGAAAATAGCTGGGCATGGTGTCACATAGCTGTAATCCCAGCAATTTAGGAGGCTGAGGCAGGAGGATGACAAGTTTGAGACTAGCCTCAGAAACTTAGTAAGACCCTGTCTCAAATAAAAAAGAAAAAGGGCTGAGGACAGAGCTCAGTGGTAAAGTGCCCTGAGTTCAATCCCCAGTACTTAAAAACTAAAATAAAATAAATAAGGAAACTATATTTCAAATATTCACCTGTAAATTGAGTGGAGTGAGATAGCTGACATTTGAGCTACTTCCTGTATCTGAAATGAGACAATAACTTCTCTTTTCCTAGCATTATTATTCAGCCATCTATAAGAACTGCCTGAAAATTAGAAGGCATGCTTCTGTGTTTGTTTAGGGGGATGGGAATTTTATTGAAATCAAATAGACCAAGAGGAAAAAAAGATCTAAGTCATAGGTATACAACTTAAGGACTTTTACTAAGGTGGCTCAGGGGGATAATCACCACTTGGATCAAGAGTCAGAATCTTACCAGCTCTCTCAAAATCTCATCTCATATGCATCCGGAGGCAATTGCCATCCCGACTTTTAACAATGCAGGTTGGTTTTGTTTGTTTGAAACTTCATATAAATGGAAATATGAGCTTGAACTCACTGACTTCATTCTCTGAACAATGTGAGAATTACACATGCTGTTGCATATAGCATTGACTTCTTTCATTGTCACGCCTGTATAATGTTCTATTATGTGAATATGGTACAACTTATTTTTCATTTGTTCTATTGATAGAAATTATGGTTGTTACTTAGCATTATATTCTCCAACTCCATCCCTTTACAACCATAATTTCTATCAATAGCACAAATGAAAAATAAGTTGTACCATATTCACATAATAGAACATTATACAGAACATTATACATTAACTATTAATCTTAATGCTGCTGTGAACACTTTTGAGTAGGTTTTTTTCTTTGTACATATCTAGGAGAGAGATTAATGAATCATAGAGTACATGCATGTTTTGTTTGAAATAGTTTTTTTTTTTATTTTATTCATTCTAATTTGTTATATATGACAGCAGAATGCAATTCATTTCGTAATACATAAATAAAGCACAATTTTTCATGTCTCAGGTTGAACAGAAAGTAGAGTCACACCGTTTATGTTTTCATACATGTACTTAGGGTCAAGATGTCTGTCTTATTCCACCGTCTTTTCTACCCTCACACCCTCTGCCTTCCCCTCCCTCCCCTTTGCCCGAACTAAAGTTCATCTATTGCTTCCATGTTCTCCCCCAGCCCCATTATGAATTGTCGCAGTCTGGCTGGGCGCAAATAACCGAGCCACCACGAGGCACTTGTAAGTTCAAACAGGAACTCCTTTATTGCCCGAACTCTCACAGGCACTCCACGTGCGCTCCCCGGGAACTCTCCCAGCCCTCAACCGGGCTCCGCGAGAACTCAAGGGGAACTCTGGGAGAACTCAAAAATAGCAGGCGCCCAAAGCAGCAGGAGCCGCCCTATTGCTGGACAGCAGGGGTCTATATACAACTGAATACACAGCCTGTTTCAATCCAGCATCATCCAGTCACAGCAATTATACACAGCTTAACTTAATTATCATCATCTTAATGGCTCACTGGCGTCACCTCTCAACCACTCCTTCTGGCAAGATGCCAGGCGCCATCTCTACTCGGCTGTGGCTCTCAACAATGAATCAGCATCCTTATATCAGAGAAGACATTTGGCATTTGATTTGGGATTGGCTTACTTAGCATTATATTCTCCAACTCCATCCATTTACCTGCAAATGCCATTATTTTATTCTATTTTATTGCTGAGTAATAGTCTATTGTGGATATATACCACATTTTCTTTATTCATTCATCTACTGAAGCGTGTCTAGGTTGGATCCACAGTTTAGCTATTGTGAAATGTGCTGCTATTGATGTGGGGTGTCCCTGTAGTATGCTGTTTTTAAGTCCTTTGGGTATAGTCCTAGGAGAGGGATAGCTGGCTCAAATGGTGTTTCCATTCCAAGATTTCCAAGGAATCTCCATACTGTTTTCCATATTGGCTGCACCAATTTGCAGTCCCACCAGCAATGTATGAGTGTACCTTTTCCCCCACATTCTCACCAACACTTATTATTGTTTGTATTCTTAATAACTGCCATTCTGAATGGAATGAGATAAACTCTTAGAGTAGTTTTGATTTGCATTTCTCTAATTGCTAGAGGTGTTGAACATTTTTTCATATATTTGTTGATTGATTGTATATCATTTTATAAGAAGTATCTGTTCAGTTCTTTGGCCCATTTATTGATTGGCTTATTTGGGTTTTGTTGGTGGTGGTGGTGGTGGTGGGTTTTTTTGGGTTTTTTTTTTTTGAGTGCTTTATATACTCATAGAGATTAGTGTTCTATCTGATGTGTGAGGGGTAAAAATTTGCTCCCATTCTGTAGGCTCTCTATTCACTTCACTGATTGTTTCTTTTGCTGAGAAGAAGCTTTTTGGTTTGAATCCATCCCATTTATTGATTCTTGATTTTAATTCTTGTGCTATAGGAGTCTTATTAAGGAATTTGGGGCCTAATCTGACATGATGGAGATTTGAGCCTACTTTTTCTTCTATTAGGTGAAGGGTCTCTGGTTTAATCCCTAGGTCCTTGATCCACTTTGAGTTGAGTTTTTTTTGTGCATGGTGAGAAAAAGCAAACATGAAATTCATCTGGAAAAATAAGAGACCAGAATAGCTAAAGCAATCCTTAGCAAGAAGAGTGAAGCAGGTGGCATCACTCTACCAGACCTTAAACTAGTAATAAAAATGGCATAGTATTGGCACCAAAATAGACTTGTAGACCAATGGTACAGAATAGAGGACACAAAGACAAACCCACATAAATACAGTCATCTTATATTAAACAAAGGTACCAAAAACATATATTGGAGAAAAGATAGCCTCTTCAACAAATGGTGCTGGGAAAACTGGAAATTTATATCAACAAAATGAAATGGTTTTAAATAGTTTACGACAGTTTAGGGAAGCAATTGTACCAATATTAATTCCTTCTCGCATAGGACGAGTTATAACCATTTCATTTTCTCTTAAGTGTACCACAGAGAATTCTATTATTTCCTCTTTAGCCATATTAGTGGGTAGGTAGTCTTATTACATTTTATATTTAAGTTGTATTACCCCCAATGACTAGTGGAGCTGAGTACCTTTTCATAGAATTAGTAACTATATGGATATCCTCTTCTGTGAAAGGCTTTTTCAAGCATTTGCCAATTTTCCTAAGATTTATCTGTCTTCATCCTACTGACTTTTATCCACTTTTATAAAAGGAGATATTTGACCAAGAACCTCTTCTACCTCTTTACTCTCCAAATCTTACCATAAGAGCAATAGCTACCATGTACTGAGGGGATTTATGTAATCATCTCACTAATAAGGTAATTATTGTTATTATTGTTGTTGTTGATTATTATTATTGCCATATTCAGAGAAAAATATTAAGGTTCAAGGAAGGTAATCAGTTGGTCCAACTGATGCAACTGGTCAGCAGCAGAGCCAGGACTGGGACCCAGGGCTTATGCCACAGCCTGTGCTCTGGACCACAGCACTCTCTACATCACAGGTGATTTTCTGATAGTCTTTCCATGATATATAAATACCAATCAAATTATGAAAAACCCTTCCTGAGTTTTCATGTACCCCTTCCCTGTTTTATTTCTAATCTTACCACTATTTAACATAATTTTGTTATTTTATTTTCCTTCTATTTTAGAATCTAAGCTGTAAGAGGACAGGGATATTGATGTGTTGTACCTACCAGTGTAGTCCCAATGGCTTGACAGTGCCTGATCCATAGAGTTCCAGGGTTTTTGAATTAATGTATAAATGAATGCATGAACACATACTAATAATTAAGTCTGTATTTCTTTATTCCCTCTGGGGCTCTGTTTCTAAAAAATTTTTTTTCTTCTCCTAGGTTTCCCTGCCTCTTTTCAGTCTTGGCTTCAACTCTGTCATTTCCTTACCATGTGCATCTTCACATGCACTGCCCAACACACAGCCATCAATAATTGTTAGGTAGGGACCACTGACAGCAACAGTCCCTGAGGTCTAGGTGGGTGCAACCAAGTGCCTAGACTAGCGGGATGCTTGAAGGGGAAAACTGGAGCTTGGGGTCCTGAAGTTCAGAGTCCTTGAGTGACTCCAGATTCTTTTCTCCCCGCCACCCCTCAAGCTGGACTGGTTTTACTGGGTTCCTAATGGCCCATGCTCAATGCGGATGCCCCCACCCACTACCAAGGAAGATGTAACAATGGCCACAGACATGGGGTCACTACCCAATGTCCAGCAGTCCTGTCTTCAGATGCTTTTTGTGCGGCAACTGGGCTAATGGCAGCCAGACATGGTAAGAAGGGCTCTTTGGAACTCCAGGGGTATGCAAAACTGAAGAAAAGACACTGCAGTGAGGGGCTGGACTCTGAGTCCTTGTTTATTGGAACTAGGAGCTAAAGCATCTGTTCTTTCTGCTACAGGTGCCCCTAGACATCACAGAGAAGACTATTTCTCAAGCCCTGAGCCCAAGGCGGTGCTAAGACAATTCCTAACAGATCTGGATAAACTGGAAAGGGAAATTGTGGCCTGGAATGAGAAACTAGACCTTCCCTATGAATACCTGAAAACAAGTTGCATAGAGAACAGTATCGCTATCTAAGCCTGAATGTGCTCAAATATTTGCCCCTTTGAAAACCATGGGCCACCATTATAGTTATCATTTTCTCTTTAGTTTTATGTTTTCCTGCGTCTGAGTTTCCACAGTTGTATTTTCTTTCCTGAGTCTCCTACCTGAATGTGTCTCTAGCCTGAGGCCTTGCTCTCATTTCCAGGTAATCTAAGACAATGATCTTTAACTTGAAACCACATTCCTTACAAAAATCAACTATCAGGTAGCTTTCTCCTGTCCCTTAAAAATTTGTCTTCTCCATTGACTATATAATAATTTTAGATGGATTTTTAAAATTTTAAAAAATTTTAAATTTTAATAATTTTAGATGGATTTTTAAATCAGTGAAGGAAGATGATCTATAATGCTGACATAAATCAAGTTGCCATATACAAATGGGACTATATTATTTCACTCATATGATTGTCTTATGTTGTACTGCACTGACTTAATTTCTATAGCTTTATAAACAACATAGATTACTATTTCATAAGACATATTAATACGATTTATCCTTTAAAGGTGCCTTCTTTTATTGGACTTTTGACTTTCTATGTAAATATTAGAGTTAGCTTGCCAAGTTCCACAAATAAAATCTGTTGTGATTTTGATTAGAATTGCATTGCAGTTATATAAAGTTTATAATCTTAAAGAAGCTTTGTATTTTTGAGATAATTCCAACAGTATCATTTTATACATTGTTAAATTCCAAAAGTGCCAAGATTTAGTTTGCAAATTTTGCCTTTGTATTCATCTGTATGATTATCCTTTCTTATATTATCTTTGAATGGCTATAATTACTCAGTAATGAGTTGACTAGTGTTTCTCATTTTATTTTATTTTTTTGCTATATTTAAAAGAATGTCTTATCTATAATTAGAATTATCTTTTCTTTTTAACTTTTATTGGTGCATATTAACTGTACAGGAGAGTGGGTTTCATTGTGGCATATTCATACATGCATATAACATAATTTGATCAATTTGTTTCTTTAATATTTAACAATTCTTTCATTTAAGATAAAGAATTAACAGCATGTTTGAGTTCTGATGAGATAGATCCATCAGGGAAGAAAAATGTTGATGCCCAAGGAAAATTACTATCATAATTTGTTTGTCTTTTGTAGGCAAGAAATAAATATACTAATTCATAAGTAAAAGGAAGAGGCTTTATTAGGAGTGTGGTTATTTATTCTATAGTAACAAGGGATAAGGTGGAATATATTGACACAGTTTCTTGACTTACCAGGAGTGGTGATACTAAAGAATCATGACTATGACCTAAGACCTAAACCTTTGAGAAACTATGGTAAATATATGGAGGATAAATACATAATTTATCACAAGGAGAAATTGTATTTGGCAGAAATTGGTGAAGACATTCAGAGGTGATTGTTTTTTGGAAGGGGGAGGATACATCTATGAGTATCAGTAAGGAATAAGGATACCTAATTCACTTCCAGAGTTACTAGCATAAGGGATGCAGGGGAAATTATGCCCTTTTTGAGAGCTGCAGGGAAACAGTGTGCTCAGAGGGGAGACATGCTTCATTTAGAGTAAGGAAGTCATAAGAACGTTTGGAGAAAAGATTAATAATATTGGGGGTTTGGCAGATGATAATCCATGAGTCCAAAGGGCACAATGGTGGAATTTCAGGGTTGGGGAGGTGTTATGGTTTGGATACGGTATCCTCCAAAAGTCCCTGTGTCAATGCAGGAATGTTCACGGTGAAATGATTGAATGTGAGAGTTGTAACCTAATCAGTCCATCCCAATTTGAAGGGACTGAGTGGGTGGTTAACTGTAGGCAGGTGGAGCATGGCTGGAAGAGTTGGATCGCTGTGGGTGTGTCCCAGAAACTTTCCTCTTATGGCCCCTTCCTGCCTCTTCTTCTGCTTCCCTGATGCCATGAACTGAGCAGCTTTCTTGAACACCAGAACTGAGCAGCTTTCCTCCATCCTACCTTTCTGCCATGATGCTCTCCCTCGCCTTGGGTCCAGAGCAATGGAGTTGGTGACCATAGACAGAAACCTCTGAAACTGTGAGCCCAAAATAAACTTTTTCTCCTCTCAGTTGTTCTTGTTAGGTATTTTGGTCACAGTGATGAAAATCTGAATAACACAGGAAACCTTTGTTGCCTAGATGAGAAGGCTTACTATTGGAAGCCAGTATAATAAGAGTACAGGCTCTGGAGTCAGGATATTTGGGTTCAAATACAATTACCATGTATTTTCACCAAATAACATAGGAGGGATCACTGATGGGGCCCTGAAAGGAGATGTAGAGAACTTCCACATGGAAGAGTGAGAGATGGAATGGAGACCTGTGCTGCTTGTAATAACTGTAAATAGGAGATAAAGGAGATAGAAGTAAATAGGAGATAAAGGAGATAGAAGTCCCAGTGATTCCGAGGCAGATAGGAATGATAAGGCTGTGGCAGGGAGAATAGAACCCAGACTTCTGGGATCTCACATTAAGCCTGTCGATAGAGGCAAAAAGACAGTCCTCCTCTACCTTTCCAGCACTCTGGTTTGCTGCCAAAAGAAACTACAAGTCAAACTTACCACAAGCTTATGGGAACAGAGAGGCCTACAAGAGGCAATATCAGGAACTCTACTAAAATGATGTATTAAATTATAAAGAAAAGACAAAATATATGATTATGTCACTAGACACCAAAAATGAACTTTTTGAAATTTATATTCATCTTCAAAAAACCTCTAAGGGAAGAAAAATAAAGGAAAACTCTCTTGATTTGACAAAGTATATATACAAGAACTGCAAATATTACATTGACCAAAACCATTACTCTAAAAATCAGAAACTGGAAAGAGATTACCATTATCCTTGTCATCATTTTACATTCTTTAGGAGAGCTCTATTGGTGCAATAGGAAAGAAAAAGAAGTATTTAAGGTTAGGGAAACAAATAACAGAATGGTCATAATTTGAAAGAATATAATTATATTCCTAGAGAGTTCAAAGAATTCAATCAAAGATTGTTAGAACTAATAAAAGAATATAAAACAAGTACCTAGAACAAGACACAAAGTACGTATAAAGAATAGTTTTCATTATACTAATAGCCAGCTAGATATTGAAGTGAAAAATTATTCCGTGTTCCTTGGTGACACTTTATGAAATAAATAAATATAAATTAGTAGAGCCTAGTAGGTTTCAGTAAGACCTCTGAATTAAAAAAGAAAGAAAAAAAAACTTATCTATGGGGAAACCTAGAAAATTATTTGAAGAATATGAAATAAGACTTTTGGGGGATGGTACCAGGGATTAAACCCAGGAGTGCTTAACAACTGAGCCCCACCCCCAATCTGTTTTATTTTTTATTCTGAGATCCTAAGCTAAATTGCTTAGGACCTCACTACGTTGCTGAGGCTGGCTTTGAACTTACAATATTCCTGCCTCAGCCTCCTGAGCCACTAGGATTACAGGTGTAAGATTTTAATGAGTGGACAAACCTTCCTAGATGAGAAGGATTACTATCCAAAAGAGATTAAGAGTATAGGCTCTGGAGTCAGAATATTTGGATTCAAATCCAATTACCATGTACTTTCACCAAAAACCCTGACTCTAAGACTAATTTTCTTTAGTCTTACAGTCAGTGTGACCACAAGGCACATGTATGGGAACTTTCCCTTCATCTTGCTAGGGGGTTATCTGAGAGCCTGAGGGTGTCCTTCAATGCTACTAGGAGGCATTCTTGGGTGGCATAAAAGTGATTGGGCATCTGAGATCTCAAAGCACAGGCAGGGCATTGATCCTAATGAGTTGCAGGTAACATTTTAAGAGCACCAGAAAAGTGAAGTCACCATTTGGGAGAGGAATATGACATCTTGAAGCTCAAACCTGGCAAAATTGCCCCTTTCTTGTGCAGACTCATATCCTGGCTAATCTTGCATAGATTTCAGTGCTGGAACTTGCTTCTGATCATACCCAAGGGACATTTTCTGGGGCGACTGATCCTGTACTTCCTAGAGTGCTGAACTGAATTTGTGAACATTCTTTTAGTACTAGATCCCCTGGACCCCACTCAATTCCTTCCAGTGCTTTTTCTTTTCAGGGGATTACCCCATACTTTTTAGCTACTCATACACAAGATAACTCCCTCTTTTAGTTTATTTCACAAAACAAGTCTTGATGGGTGTTATGGTTTAAGTATGAATTATCCCTCAAAAACTCATGTGAGAAAATGCAAGAAAGTTTAGAGGTGAAATGATTGGGTTCTGAAAGTTTTGACCTAATCAGTGAATTAACTCCCTGATAGGGATTAACTGGGTGACAACTATAGGCAGGTAGGGTGTTGGATGGAGAAGGTGGGTCCCCAGGGGAGTGCCTTTGGGGTATATATTTGTCCTTATCGAGGGGAGCACCCTGCCCCCTCCTGTCTCTGATTATCCTGTCCTGAGCTGCTTTCTACTGCCATACCCTTCCACCATGATCTTCTGCTCATCTTGGCCCAAGAACAGAGCCAGCCATCTATGAGCTAAGACCTCTGAAACCATGAGTACCAAATAAACTTTTCCTCCTGTAAAATTGTTCTTGTCAAGATTTTTAGTAAAGAGCTCGATTTCCTGTTGATAAGACATTATGTCTAAGAATGTAGAAACATAATGATCAAGTTTCTAGTTTGAAATGAAGAATATAATTGACCTCTCTATCTCCTCCTCTTCCCTAGAGACAAAAAAACAAACATACAAAAGCAAAAACTAAAACAAACAACAACAAGTAATGCTAGCAGAGTAGGGGATCAAGTCCACACACACCAGAGAGACTACATGTCCTACTGTTCTCCCACTTGGTATGGCCACAAGGGCTAACATCTAACTGATGTCAAATAATTAGAAGTTGATATGAATTCTAAAAGGAGCTGCTTGTCCTCTCTGTTTTCTGTCTCCTTTCCTGTGGGCTGAGATTTTAACATCAAACTTGTAAACTAGTTAGGTCCCTATTGACTCTAGAGAGCAGAGCTGTTTACT